GGTATATTCGCACAATGGAATACTATGCTGCATTAAAAAACAAGGAACTCATGCAATATTATTCAAAATGGTTGACTCTGGAGAACATTATGCTGAGTGAAATATCCCAGTCACAAAAGGACAAATATTACATGATGCCACTGTTGTAGAATGGGACTGTCCTTGGGGTTGGGGAGAGACTGAGTAAGATGGGTTCAATAATGTATACTGCACTGAAACAGAGGAGGGAGAAAACTGTTTAAAAGAGATATATAACTAGGTATTTCTGTCATCACAGGAGACTAGAGCGAGGGCTACATGGTGGAGGGGACCTGGGGGAGGGTTTGTAAAACAATGAAAGAATCTTTTCTTTTACTTTTCCATAATTTTTGGACTCATGTACTTATAACTTGTTAGTCAAATTTGTGTCTTCTAGGTTGCAACACCCCCATGATACATCTTCAAGGATATGAACATGTATGGCCAAGCACAATCAATAAGAGTGCATCTAAATTCCAAAATCAATCTCCATAATAGTCTATGTGTTTCCTACTGCCAAAGGGGCCCTTTAGAGTAGTGAGAGAAGATCTTCACCCTGAAACCCACAGCGTCCCTTTTCAGCAGGAAGTAGCTAAGAGAATACGCCATCCCCTTTTCCTTATGACTCAGGGTGAAGTCTCTCTCAGGGGGGAGTGATAGGGAATGGCAAAGGACACACTGACAAAGAAGATTAATCAGAACTGGCTTTGACAAGCACTGTGGCATTTGGACAAGAACAAACTGGGAGGAGGGTAGAGAGAATAGTGCAACAATGAATGAATAGAAACCCAAAATCTTTGTAAATGTTTATGAAAATTAATAAAATATAGAAGAGAAAAAAAAAAAAGATCCAAAGTACAGTGACTTCAAAGTTTCTTTTCCCCCTTAAAACAACAGTAGAGGTGGGTGGTCCAGGGCCAATAGGGTTCTCACACCATCTCAGATACACTCCCACCTCAGCACTAGAAGTGGCTGCAGAACCTTCACTCCGGTTCTTGAGGGAGCAGGACAAGGGGAAAGCATGCCAAGGTTTTGGTGTTTTTTTATTAATTTTAATGGAAATTTAGAGACTTTGGGTTTCCATACATTCATTGTTGCATTTTTCTTCCTGCACCCCTCCCCCCCAGTACATTCTTCTCTTTGAAAAGTAAAACTCTCTCATTGTATGCAACCTTTGTTCTGGACTCTGGTCATGACAAAAATACCTAATCACATGTCTCTTTTAAACAGTTTTCTCCCTCATCTGTTTCAATGCAGTATACATTATTTATCCCATCTTTCTCAATCTTCCCCCAACCCCGATGTCAGTCCTGTTTTACAACAGTGGCACTATGCAATATTTGTCCTTTTGTGACTGAGGTATTTCACTTCACATAATGTCCACTAGGGTCACCCATTTTGAATAATATTGCATGAGTTCCTTGTTTTCATGAGGTTTATTAGAGAATTAATTAGTAATAATTCCATATCAGAAACTCAGGACAGTTCTTCAACCAGGATGGCTTTTTTGTTGACCTGCTTCTGTCAGGCCCTGGCTGGGCCTTGCTTTGTGTTGTTGCTGTATGCCAAGTTTTTTTAAAAAGCATGATTCCTGACCTGCATCCCTTCTACTCACATCTCGCTCGCTGAAGAATTTAACCACAAAGGAGGTGGCTGGGAAATGAATCCATTTCTGTAGTTGTGTAGCCAAATCAATCAAGTCCCTGTTCAATAGCTCAAGTACATGCTGTTATTAGCTTTAGATTCACAACTATCCTTTGGTAACATGGTTTGCAAGTATTTATCACCCTGAACAAAAGTTAATTTATCCTGTCCCTCCCTCCCTCACTGTGAGCCCGGTGCTATGATATAGGCTTGTCCCCTCGGACCCCTTTCGTCCTTTCAGCAACTCCGTAAGATAGATATGATGAATATATATAAAAAAAAAACAGGTCTAAAGCCATGACATTTAAAAAAAAAAAGATAGATATGATGATTGTGCCCATTTTAAAGACAAAGAAATAGAGGCATAGAGGTTAATTTCTCCAAGGAAATTAACTAGGAAGTGGTACAGCTAATTTAAACCCAGATCCGACTTCATATTTAACAATGTAATAAAGTCAAATGAAGGACTTCTAGTTAGGTCTTCACAATAATCTTTATGTGTTTACCAGCTATCCTACTTAATCCTGTTGAAATTTTCTCATTCCCAGAAATGCATGGAGGATCTTGATCTATTTTGAAAATAAAAAGGGAATATTTTCTAATTATGTGGCTAAATTAAAGGACCTATGAAGATGACACAAGTTAGATTTTTAAAAAATGCTTGCTATTTACTTTTCCAAGAGGGTAGGGTACTAGGGGGAAGGGTTGGGAGGGGAGAAAAGCGCAACAATGAATGAATGGAAATCCAAAGTCTCTGTAAATTTTCATTGAAATTAGTAATAAATTTTTAAAAAATGCCCGCTAATGAAGTCTTTCTTCTGCTTTTCAAGAAGAGTGAAGTGAGGAAGAGGGGGTGGGCAGGGAGAAAAGTGCAACAATGAATGACTGGAAACCCTAAGTTTCTGTAAACGTTCATCAAAATTAGTTTTTTAAAAATCCCTGCTAGTTTTGCCCACAGTGTTTCACTTTGAAAAAAACCACTTCTCTTCTTCTGAAATGAGGCCATTTCCACTTGCTGGCACTAATACTTTCCTCATTCCTCGTTTCTCCTCATCTCCCATGGGGAAACCTGTGTTGCCCAGTTAATTTCAAACTAAAAATCAAGTATTTGAAAATATTCTAGTAGCTCAAGAGGGGGGAGGAATGCAAAAGAAACAAAAATACAGGACATTATGGATTTCCCCAATGTGAAAAATTCAAACAACTGTCTGCTGGAGTCTGGGAACTGGAAGGAACTCCTGCCTACCTCTCGCGGTGTGATGGACACCACCTGAGAACCGTGTGCTTCCCAAGACTCAGGATGGACACACACATCAAGCAGAGGGGGATCTCCCCGGAGGAAGGAATAGTGTCCTGAGGGGAGAGGCCCACACTAGCCTAACTGTTAGGAACTGAGCTTTGGGCTAATGAGGTGGAGTGGGATAGTCCCAGTGCCCCGCTTAACATCTTCAAGAAAAGAAGCAAGCAGTCCCAGGATAGTGGTATCCTCATGCTCTCCCCAAAATGTAGAGGCAAATCATCCGAGGATTAGAGGTCACAGGTTGCAACCATAAAGACCAGAACATCTGGGCTCCTACGTGGGAGAGTCGGCTACTAAGCCAGCAATATCCCATAATAAACATAAATATACCAAATCATAATCTTTACCAAATAATGAAACACTTTCAACATTAGCTGCTAATTTATTCCTGTCCACCTGCATTAGTGACTTTACTATTCTATACTATGAACACAGCAAGTATGTTGTAGTGTACCACTGGGCTGGAACCAATCCACAGCTGACCCTCCAGCGGGTTTCAGAGGCAGTCAACTGCATGGGAGGAGACTGTCCATTTTTCCTGTGGATCAGTGGGTGGATTCGAACTGTGTAACTCTGCTTTGGCAATTCAACTCCTTGTGCTTAGCCAAGTACAGGATTTTCTAATTTTGTGGAACAGAGCCAGTGTACTGAGGAGTCCTGTCAGCACGGCATTAAAAACACTTACCTGCTACATAAAGGTTAGTGGTTCTAACCCACAAGCTGCTCTGTGGGGAGGAAGATATGACTGTCAGCTTTGGCAAAGATTGAAAACCCACAACTCACTGCCCTCAAGTCAATTCAGTGTAGTGACACTGAAGGACAGAGCAGAAGCGCCTCATGAGATTGCAAGGCTGTAATCTTTAGGGAAGCTGGCGGCCACAGATTTCTCTTCCAGAGAGGCTGGGGAGTTCAAATCCCCTACTCTTCTGTTTGCAGCTAAGTAAGTAACCCTTATGCCACCAGGGCTCTTTCTGCAAACATTTCAGCCTTAAAAAACTCTACAGGCTAATTCTACCCCACCCTGCAGGGTTGCTAGGACTTGGAATCAACACAATGGTGCTCCAGCATATTGAAATGTAACGACGCTAACAAGTCAAATAAGGGAAAAAAACGTTCAAATAGCATTATCGTATCCTAAGTATCAATTGAGCCTTTTATTTCAACTTAGTGGTAAAAAGAAATATGCTCAACAAAATACAATTTTTAACATCAAATGAATAGCCTAAGGATAAAATTTTAAAAACTACATGGAAATAGAAGCAGAGACAATATGAAAAGATTAAAAATGTCATTACTGCTATAACTGATTAAACCACAATGTGTGGACTCCAGAATGAGTGTCTTAGTGGAAAGAAAACAAAGTCAGCTTTGTGTATGTTCTAATTTGATTCTGAATGAAAACTAGCTGTATGTATGATAAATGGACAGAAAGTTATATGATCCTTAGAAGAAACAAAAACAACTTCTAAGAAAAGATGCATTTCAGTCTTTTTGCTGTGGCAAGAAAAACAAGTATTAGTGCTATGTACTCTAAGGCTCCAGAACTGTCCTTCACAATGCTTTTAGTGACCTTTTCAAGATAATTTAAAAACAAAAATAGAACAGTATTCTTTGTGAGTAAAAATATATTACTGCCTAAAAGAACCAAATAAGGGGATATAATATAGATCAGAAAATTTTTATTATTTAGTTAAAAAAAACCCCATACTTGTACCTACCTGGTTCTCTTATTTTTACCCTATCATTCAACTTCTGAAGATTCTGTGGCAAGTTAATTTAGAACTTTTAAAAGCTTTAATGATTCCCTACTGCAGCATAACCTCCAAAACGTTAAACTTCAGGTGAAACATGTTTTTGTGGTCCAAGGAATTGTAAAACAGGGCCAGGTCACTAGACCCACAAGCTAGTTTCTAGCAGCAAAACACCTGAAGACCCACTAACCAACCTTTGTATCAGATTGTAGATTTAACTTCCTTATAAGAAATAATTTTTAAAAGTACTCTAACGTTTAGTTCAAATGCAATCAAACATGAAAGTATCAAAGTCCTTGTCTGTCTTCATTTGGCCCAGTGGCACCAGGTGCAGCTGGAGCCTTGTTACCTTCAACAAAAACAGATTCAAAGGCAGCTTCCTGTTCCTCCAATGAATCCGCAGCACTGGCTCCTTTCAGGAGCGTTGCGTTGGCCACAGACTGCTGTTGCTTGGAGATTTTATCTGATTTCATCGTTTTCCTACCCTTTCTTTTACCAAGAATTCTGACATAATTCGCAGGTATAAATCCTGATGTCTGACCATCGAGACTGGCCAGAAGCCAACCACGCACTTTGGGCTGCTGTTCTGATAAAAGAAAAAAAACCAAAACACCTTGTAATTATACATTGGAAGGAACAAACAGTAAAGTAAAATCCATGTACAGTTATGTAATAAAATATGCACAAATAGTACATAAATATTAAAACTTTAATGGTAAGCTTAACAGTCTTAGTCTTAGGCTCTCTCTTGCTCCACTACATGATATATATAATGTATATTTATTCATTCACACATTCATTTCTTTCTTTTAAATGTAACAGTTTTTTCCTACCTTGAAGAGTATCTTTTATTACATCAGCTGGCCTATTAAGAGAGTGAAGAATTTCAGTTCCCTCAAAAGCTGAAAATTAACAACAATGGCTCTGTTTTTTTTACTATGGTGAAAATGTGCATAACAAATCATGTCATTTAACAACTGACACATTCACATTTCAGTTCCAGTGATATCAACATTTTTCATGTTGTATCATGATTATTAATGTGTTTTTTCCAAAATATTCCACCTCCATCAACATAAATGCAATGCTCTCAAATCAAGCTTCCCTCTTTGTCTCTCCTTCTGGTAACCATTGATAATCTTTGATTTCTAGCTATATACTTACTTGTCTCATATAAACAAGGTTCTCTGGAGTTTGTTCTTCTTTTTCAACTGAAGTATTTCAATCACCCAAGGCTCACCCAATAAAGCTTTTCTTATTTTAAACTTAAATCTAAAAGCTGAGTATCTTGTCCCTTCTCAGTTAAGTACGCTGTTGTTGTCAGGTGCAATCAAGCTGACAAGGACTCATAGCCAACCTATGATCAACGGGCCTGAACCTCACCTATCCGGAACCATCCTCATAACCTCTGATGTGCGCAAGCCAAGTTTTGCAGTCACTGTGCCAAGTCATCTTGTTAAGGGTCTTCCTCTCTTTCTGTGACCCTCCGCCTTTCCCGGCATGATGTGTTTTCCTAAGAACTGGTCCTCCTGACAACATGTCCAACGTCTGTGAGATGAAGCGTCACCAACTTGACTCTAAGGAGCACACTGGCTACACTTCCCCTGAGACAGAGGTGGGATATTCAGTACTATTCCCCACCACCACAACTCACAGGCACGGGTTTTTCTTCTGTCATCCTTATTCACTGCCCAGCTTTAAATGTATAGGAAATAATGGAAAAGACTGTGGCTTGAATCAAGTGTTGTTGTTGTTATGTGCCGTCAAGTCGTTTGCGACTCATAGCGACCCTATGTACAACAGCCCTAAACCCTGCTCTATCCTGTGCCAATCGCACTGCCTCTGACACACCCATCCTGAGTACCCCAGTCACTGAATCAATCCACCTCATAGAGGGTCTTCCCCTCCTGCGCTGTCCCTCCACTCTGCCCAGCATGATGTTCCTCTCCAAAGACCTGTCTCTCCTTGCAACATGTCCAAAGTATGTCAGATGAAGCCCCAGAATCTTTGCCTCCAAGGAGTAGCCTGGTTTAACCTTCTCTAGGATGAATCTGTTTGTTTTCTTGGCAGTCCATGGTACATTCAATACTCTTCTCCAGCACCACAGCTCAAAGGCATCAATTCTCCTTCTGTCCTCCCTAGTCATTGTCCAACTCTCTGATGCATAACAAGTGATTGCAAAGACCATGGCCTGTAACAGGAGCACCTTCGTCTCCAAAGAGACACCGTTGCTCCTAAGTACTTTAGAGAGGTCCCTAACAGCAGACTTTCCCATCGCAATATGTTTTTTGATTTCCTGGCTGCTGGTGCCAAGAGTGTTGACTGTGGAGCCGAGCAAACTGAAGCTATGAACAATCTCAATCTCTTCGCCATCCATCCTGATGCTACCAATTGGTCCAGTGGTGAGAATCTTTGTCTTCTTGACATTGAGCCTCAGTCCATACTGAAGGCTGCAGTCCTTGACCCTCTGCAGTAAGTGCATGAGGTCCTCCTCAGTTTCAGCGAGCAAGGTTGTGTCATCTGCATAACGCAGATTGTTGATAGAACTTCCACTAATCCTAACACCACGCGTCTCCTCAAAGAGCCCAGCCTCTTGGATAAGCTGCTCTGCATACAGGTTGAAAAGGTATGGAGATAGGACACATCCCTGACGCACACCCTTCCCAATTTTGAACCATTCAGTGTTGCCCTGCTCTGTTCTGACGACCGCCTCTTGGTCCAAGTATAGGTTTCGCATTAGCACGAATCAAGTGTACCTTGGTATTTAAACTGGTATCACTGATTTTCAGCACTTTGGAGAGATCCTAGACAGTAGATTTCCCGAAGTCAACTAGTCTTTTGACTTATTGACTGTTCCTGCCAGGAATACTGATGATAGTTATCTAAGCAAATGAAATGGTTGACAACTGTACTCTTTCTCCCATACATCATGATGCTGCCTGCTGGTTCAGTGAAGATGACTGCTGCTTTCTTGATGCTGAGACATAATCTATACTGAAGACTATAATGTTTGATCTTCTGCATGACAAGTCTAGTTAGTTGAAAAGGATCAGGAACTCTTTGGAGAGAGCTTCTTGACAACCGATTTTTTTTTAAAAAAAGAAGAAACATGCCTTTTGATTTCCTGACTGCTGCCACCATGGGCACTGACTGTGGATCTAAGAAAAACAGAAAAGAAACAAATGCTTTTATGCAGTCGGTTTTCTTTACATAATTTTAACCAAATTACACAATTCATGGGCATACTGTTAGGAGAGGCTAATCCTTAGAAAAAGATCATCATGCTTGGAAAGGTGAAGGGACGGCAAAAAGAAAGAAGACTCTCTACCACGTGGGTTGACACAGTGACTACAGCAACAGGTTTGATGTGAGGCTGGGACAGGACAGGACGGAGTTCACACCTCTTGTCCTCATTGCCGCTACGATCCCTACTCGATGGCACCTAACAACAATAACGTGATTGTGACAAAAAACCCTGAAGATCACAAATGGCACATTTCACACAAGATGAGCAAAAATTTAAGACTCAAGTTCTTTCTGGCCACCTAACAAAGTTAAAGGCAACAGTCTAAAGATAAAGTAAGAAAGATATCTCATATATACAATTTTTTATTACCTCATTTTCTTCCCCAGCCATCTAATTTAGATCTTTAAAAAACTTATTTTTACTTAAATGAAGGTTTGCAAATCACAGTGCTTTTTCAGACTCATTCACACACATCTCGTTTTGGAACACTGCCATTGATAATGTAATTAATTAATCATAATATGTAACTGAGCTCTGGTGGCTTAGTGGTAAGGAGTTTCTCTACCAATGCAAAGGCACACAGTTCCAATCTGCCAGCTGCTCTGAGGGAGAAAAATGGGCAATCTCCTCTCCTGCGATTTACAGCCTGTGAGAACCCGCTGGAGGGTCAGCTATGGGTTTTTTCTGTCTCCAAGGTATATAACAGAACAATGGTAAACAAATGGAGTGGGGCTGCTTAGCCAAAGGGTACATCTTCCTGGCAGTCTGCATCCCCCAATACCCTCCTCCTGTGTGATTTACAGCCTCAGGAAATTCATAAAGAGGGCCACCTTATAGTTTCCAGAGGCATGTCGTCTAGCAAGTGGATGCCACTCCTGTTTCCAAACCTGTCTTACACTGGGAGCTCCACTAAACACTGTCAACCATGGGTAACCGTTATACCATTTGACACTCCAATGGCACAAGGTTTGGCTGTATTATTGCCAAGTATTTTTTCCCCAGTCTAAGGGTTCAATTTTAGGAGGTTCCAGTCATGTAATGAATGTTATCCTCTGTTGATTGTACATTTTTGGTTGCATTTTATAGTGTCCAGGGCTCCTAAGTATGCCTCAATTTTTGTTTTGATCTTTATAGTTTCAGGTTTTATGACTACATCCTTGGTACTTTTTGAGTTAGTTTTTAAACTATGGTGTGAGGTATGGTTCTTACTTTAGTTTTTTGCAAATAAATACCCTATTTTGACAGCACCAAAGAGGCTTTTCTCCACTTAATCAATTTCATCTCTTTGTCAAACAGCTGTCCATTGTTGGATGGATTTATTTCTAGGTTCTTAATTTTATTCCATTTGTGTATGTACCTGTCATGTACCAGTACAAAGCTGTTCTTTTAAAAAGAACTTTTATTTACAAAGCTGTTTTAAATATTGTGGTTGTGCAGTAGGTTTTGAGATCAGGAAGTGTAAAATAGTGTACTTAGGATTTGTTTTGGTATTTTTCCATATCTCTTTGCTTATCTGGGTTTCTTGCTTTCTACATGAAGTTGGTGATTTTCCGAACTCTGAAAAATCATGATGGATCTGGATATGGGATTGCACTGTGTGTGTGTGTGTGTGTGTGTGTGTGTGTGTATAGAAAGAGATCATTTGTGGTAGCACTGTCATTTTCACAATACTAAGTCTTTCAATCTAGGAGCATGGAACGTTCTTCCATTAAATATAGATCTTTCTGGGTTTCAGAGGTGCCGAGGCCTCTTCTAACCCCCACTTAAACTTCTGGCAGTTTCCTGTCAATGTACATGTCTAGCCGTTTTTGGGTGATTTTCTGTAATATTTTGTTTGTATGTATTATTAAAATATTGTTCTATAATTTCTACATTCTGTTGGGTCACCCTTCTTGGGAATGGGAACAAATATGGATCTACCCCAGTCACTTGATCAGCTGTCCTCCAAATTTCCTGGCAGAGACTGGTCAGCATGTCTAGGGCTGTATCTGTTAGTTGAAACATGTCAATTGGTATCTCATCAACTCCTGGGGCCTTATTTTTTACCAGTGTTGCCTCTTGAACTTATGGTACTTCTGGAATATTTCAATGTTGACCAATTCTTTTTGGTACAATAACTCTTGTGTATTTCCTCTTCCTAGATCATTTAAGATTTTGCCCAAATCATCTCTCAGTATTGAAACTCAAGGCTTGAATTATTCTTCAATTCTTTCAGCTTGAGTAATGCTGCATAAGTTCTTCCCTTTTTATTCTGACTCTAGCTCTTTGCACATTTCATAGGATATTCTGCTTTTGTCTTCTTGAGCTACCTTTTGGCTGTGCCATTTTACAATCCCACC